GCTATTTATAAGTTATTATAACGGCAAATCAAAGGGACCAAGATATCCACCAGCACATTATGTCACCTTGTATCATGGAAATTGTCTTTAGTTAAAGATATACTGTTTGTTTTCATTTAGAAAAAAAGTTATCTATTTATTTTAAATTCTGATATAGGCTTTGGCCGAAGTGTGTTATTGCCGCCCAACCCTAACAAACAACGAACCGATGTTTTGCAATGTTAGTATAAACCTGATGACATTGTGACGCCGCAAATATAATAAAATGACATCACATAGCTTTGTGTCGTCTAATAGTTTAAATTGTCATAGAATGACGCATGACATCAAACTTCAATTTGTTTTTAAATTTGGATTTTTAAATTATGTAGATGGTGATTTTTGTGGTGATTTACTTTTGCTATGTTTGCGATCTCCAAATATATGAAATACACAGCGAATATCAATTCCAGGAATAAACGTAACAGTTAATGTACGTAGTAAGATAAAAGGTAATAATCTTTTTACCCGTTTACTGCCGAATTATTAGATATAACAGAAATTCAATGTCGTATTTTACTATGATAAAACACATTTATACTAAATCCGATCGCCAAAAAAGCACCCTAGTAACGGGGATATACTTATCTGTCAATGTTGTTCAAAATGATCCCGACGAACTAGTTTTCATTGTAACAACAGTGATGTTATATTTGATCCCCACGAACTAGTTTTCATTGTAGCAACAGTTATGTTATATTTGATCCTGACGAACTAGTTTTCATTGTAACAACAGTGATGTTATATTTGATCCCGACGAACTAGTTTTCATTGTGACAACAGTTATGTTATATTTGATCCCCACGAACTAGTTTTCATTTCACAATGATGTTATATTTGATCCCCACGAACTAGTTTTCATTGTAACAACAGTGATGTTATATTCGATCCCGACGAACTAGTTTTCATTGTGACAACAGTGATGCTATACCTGTCCCACGAACTAGGTTTCATTGTAACAACAGTGATGTTATATTTGATCCCCACGAACTAGTTTTCATTATAACAACAGTTATATTATATTTGATCCCGACGAACTAGTTTTCCTTGTAACAACAGTGATGTTATATTTGATCCCCACGAACTAGTTTTCATTGTAACAACAGTGATGTTATATTTGATCCCGACGAACTAGTTTTCATTGTAACAACAGTGATGTTATATTTGATCCCCACGAACTAGTTTTCATTGTGACAACAGTGATGCTATATTTGATCCCGACGAACTAGGTTTCATTGTAACAACAGTGATGTTATATTTGATCTCCACGAACTAGTTTTCATTGTAACAACAGTGATGTTAAATTTGATCCCGACGAACTAGTTTTCATTGTAACAACAGTGATGTTATATTTGATCCCGACGAACTAGTTTCCATTGTGACAACAGTGATGTTATATTTGATCCCCGCGAACTAGTTTTCATTGTAGCAACAGTTATGTTATATTTGATCCCGAGGAACTAGTTATGTTATATTTGATCCTGACGAACTAGTTTTCATTGTAACAACAGTGATGTTATATTTGATCCCCGCGAACTAGTTTTCATTGTGACAACAGTTATGTTATATTTGATCCCCACGAACTAGTTTTCAATTCACAATGATGTTATATTTGATCCCCACGAACTAGTTTTCATTGTAACAACAGTTATATTATATTTGATCCGGACGAACTAGTTTTCATTGTGACAACAGTGATGCTATACCTGATCCACGAACTAGGTTTCATTGTAACAACAGTGATGTTATATTTGATCCCCACGAACTAGTTTTCATTGTAACAACAGTTATATTATATTTGATCCCGACGAACTAGTTTTCATTGTAACAACAGTGATGTTATATTTGATCCCCACGAACTAGTTTTCATTGTGACAACAGTGATGCTATATTTGATCCCGACGAACTAGGTTTCATTGTAACAACAGTGATGTTATATTTGATCTCCACGAACTAGTTTTCATTGTAACAACAGTGATGTTAAATTTGATCCCGACGAACTAGTTTTCATTGTAACAACAGTGATGTTATATTTGATCCCGACGAACTAGTTTTCATTGTAACAACAGTGATGTTATATTTGATCCCCACGAACTAGTTTTCATTGTGACAACAGTGATGCTATATTTGATCCCGACGAACTAGGTTTCATTGTAACAACAGTGATGTTATATTTGATCTCCACGAACTAGTTTTCATTGTAACAACAGTGTTGTTAAATTTGATCCCGACGAACTAGTTTTCATTGTAACAACAGTGATGTTATATTTGATCCCGACGAACTAGTTTCCATTGTGACAACAGTGATGTTATATTTGATCCCCGCGAACTAGTTTTCATTGTAGCAACAGTTATGTTATATTTGATCCCGACGAACTAGTTTTAATTTTAACAACAGTGATGTTATATTTGATCCCCACGAACTAGGTTTCATTGTAACAACAGTGATGTTATATTTGATCCCGACGAACTAGGTTTCATTGTAACAACAGTGATGTTATATTTGATCTCCTGACGAACTAGTTTTCATTGTAACAACAGTGTTGTTAAATGTGATCCCGACGAACTAGTTTTCATTGTGTCAACAGTGATGTTATATTTGATCCCCACAAACTAGGTTTCATTGTAACAACAGTGATGTTAAATTTGATCCCGACGAACTAGTTTTCATTGTGGCAACAGTGATGTTATATTTGATCCCCACGAACTAGTTTTCATTGTAACAACAGTAGCGGCCTATAAAAAACCAATAGTTCTACAGTTTACACTGCTCTGGCCATTTTTGTACAATTTAAGGTGTCGTTAACCAAAACACTTTGTCGTTTTTACCAAGTGTGCTTCTATTTACGAATAAATATTCTGATCATGCGAAAGTTTCATTTTCAATAGTAAAATGACTAAGATCTATCCATTCGATTCCTGGTTTCCCGTACCTTTTATATACTTGTTGCCGGAAAAAATACAATTGATATTGTTTCGTAAAGTAACGTACATCTGTAACAATATAATTTGGATAAATATCGCTTTCACCAGTGAAATGATTATTTGTCCGTTGTTTATATCGTTCACATGTAATTACTGTAAAGAGTATGATGTTAACTATTATTCGCCGTCATGATCAATTTGCCCTCATTTCGAAGAGTGCAAATGGCGAAAGTTAAATGCATAAGCTGTTCCTTTGCGCGTGCGAACATTCGTCATTTGATAACTTTATGTCTTCATGATCATTTCACAACTAGCTTCACATTTCCATCATTTCTGACCCTGTGTGCAGTTGTTCTATGTTGTGTCTTTAACCTGGATGCATTTAGGACGGATTTTTTGGTTTTCAGTCGGCGTCAAACACTGATCCACCTATATATCGACATCGCTCGTCAATACATGGAATCAGCATCCGTCAGATTTTAAAACACTATCAAAGTCGTCTTCTCGATAAGTACAATGAGCTTGATATGTTTCAAGTAGATGTAGTGTTTGAATAGATTTTGTTTTTCCGCTAGCAAATCTTAAAATTCATACAAAACTAAATGTGTGTACCCTCGTTCGATAAATGTACCAGTCGAGCGACTCATTTGTTTACCGGTACATTTGTTTACCGGTACATTTGTTTACCGGTACATTTGTTTACCGGTACATTTGTTTACCGGTACATTTGTTTACCGGTACATTTGTTTACCGGTACATTTGTTTACCGGTACATTTGTTTACCGGTACATTTGTTTACCGGTACATTTGTTTACCGGTACATTTGTTTACCGGTACATTTGTTTACCGGTACATTTGTTTACCGGTACATTTGTTTACCGGTACATTTGTTTACCGGTACATTTGTTTACCGGTACATTTGTTTACCGGTACATTTGTTTACCGGTACATTTGTTTACCGGTACATTTGTTTACCGGTACATTTGTTTACCGGTACATTTGTTTACCGGTACATTTGTTTACCGGTACATTTGTTTACCGGTACATTTGTTGGGAATGTTTTCAGAAGATACTCTGTTGAAAAATAATACACACACGCGCATGGTTTATTGTTTAATAATCCATGATTGTTAACGAATGAAAAGTGTCGTTACATCGCAAACGTGGTAGAATACCTCATAATCTGACCAAAATGGAAAACTACTCCTTATATTTACAGTATTTTCTACGAATGCTTCAAACTTATTGTCTACATCAATCTGATACAAAATTCATTTTCAAAATATATTAACGTGCGGACAGTTCTATAAATTTCACAGCCTGAAATCTGAATAAGTTTTTGTTAACTCCACCCAAATCTAGTGCTAATGACATCACATAACGTTCGCGGAAAACCTGCGTTACCTACAGTACATGTATTGTTGTCAATGACAATTGCAACACACTGTACCGCAATACAATGGGCAATTTTTATGTGATTACTCATTTATCTCTCAGTAAAATGTTAAATGTGTTTCTGATACAATTCGGTGATATTTAACACCAGTGTAATAACGAAACAATACTATAGATGGAACCTTGAACAGGCACAGAATGGTGACGTCGACAACACAGGTAAAAACTTACATTGAATGACAACAGAAAGACAAAACAAGGAACTATAAGATTGCCAATAGTATGCAAACAGCTTTAGTAGTAGTTAGATCGGAATGATATCGATAGAAGATAACATGCAGGATAAAATGAGATTATATAGTGTGTTGATTGGAGCTGCTGATAAATCAGACGTCAATCAACAGGCTAAGCTCCACCTCCATTTCCTTCAGGCGCTACTCCATCACCTACCCATCAATACCAACAGAGGAAAACATGGACGACAACCATGTCCCGGATATCACGCTTTGTCCATTTATACCGTCTCGTTTTCGATTTTTAATAAATTCTATTACCCCTGCATCTCCCTAGAGGGCGCCTATACCGTGTCGGTATTCGTCAGTTTTCATGTATGACAGGCCACATATAAGACACGGTCAGTTGTACGATATCTAATCTCCTACTCCGACATCAGCGGGGATTCAGACGCAGGCTGTTGTTCCGCGTGAACCATTTCAGCCATGGAAAAGATACTCGTATTTTGCCTGCTTGTCGGCGCAGTCGCCTTTGTTATAGGACAAGGCGGCGGTTATTTTGGTGGCGGTAATAATTACTATTACCCGACCGGGCAATACGGTAATGTAGCAGGGTATCCACTAGGAGAGTATCTAAGAGCAAAGAATGTGTACCTAAGAGCAAGGCTTTCGAGCAGGAAAGAAGACGGCTTCTTGGGCGATATCATAGGACTGGGTAAGCCATCTCTTTGTGTCAAATTAATTCTAATGAATTAGGTACCCTCATAAGATAAGCATTGATTAACTTAAGAAAATGGAAGTATTGAATGTAAAGTTTTTTGACAGGAAATGTCATGAATTTGCAATGCCCTTCAAACGTGATTAGATTGTAACAGAAATTTTGGTGGCGATTTTCAGAAATATTTAAAAAAAAAAAAAAAAAAAAAAAAAAAATTTAAAAAAAAAAAAAAAAAAAAAAAAAAGTATTTAAAAAAAAGAAAAAAAAAAGTTCTTGAGCACGTTTAAAGCGGGTCGTGTTCAGCTATTTCGTCCAAAAATCGTAAATATATACTGTTATTTTGTGATAATACTGTGCTTCTAAGTAAGAATGAATGATAAAGATTATAAATACAACACATGTTGAAATCGAAATGAAACCAGCCCATTAACAGGGTATATAAATAATTATGAAGATAATGGTTACTGAGCCAGTCTTAATTACATATTATCATTTCTCCTTTTCAAATTAATTATTATATGCTTAATGTAAAAATAGATATAATATCTCAGTAAATAATTAAAATGTGTATATAATTAAAGCAGAGTTAGAGAGATTCTTTTGGAAAAGAAACCACATAGTTCGAACACCTGTATAAAACATCTCAAAACTTGAGAAAAATCTCAAGCAATGTATAGTATATGGGAATTTTTAGACTTGAGGAAATCTCAAGCAATGCATAGTCTATGGGAAATCTTAGACTTGAGGAAATCTCAAGAGATGAGATGTTTTATACAAGCGGGACCAGTTATTTAATACGTATTGCTTAAAACTAGGATTTAAAGAAAACTCAAAGTGGTAAGTTTGCGGTAAAATACAAACAACTAATAAAACAAGATTTGCTCCCGAACTACGGGCACTATTCAAAGACATTTGACAAAGAACGAATCAGTAGTAAAACAGTAGATTTAATCACCTCAGTGGAAAAGTCACTTAATCATATTTTGATGTGCATTTAATGAATTTCCATTAGTTACGATTTCTTTACAAATTATATGATATTGTCAAATATTATCAAACAGTACAGTAACTTTATACAAAAGTAGAGGAGAGTAAGTGTAAGGGTGTTCTAATCAAATGTCCAATAATAACATCACAAACACTATACTTTATAAACATGATTATAATCTCCGCTATTAGGGGGAAGTCAGACCTAACAATAATGATATCTATGAAAGTAAAAACACTTATTTATTAACTTTACTGAATTCCACTGTATTGTTGACGGCCGAGGGTATCACGTGCGGTCAGCATCGTATCGTATCATTTGTATTGTATCATTTGTATTGTACAATGTATCATTTGTATTGTATCATTGAATATTTGTATTGTATCATTTGTATTGTATCATTTGTGTTGCATACAGAAGATAAGGACTGTACGTTTTGTATTTACAGGTGCACTTTTCCTTTTATACGCGTTCTACAAGAACTTGACAAAACAGTACATTGGTTGATAACACGACTTGTGTCAGTAAGAATACACTGGACATCATTAGTTATACGAGGTAGGTACCCAGCTGTTTATACTACATGTCAAAATACGGACTAAAATAACACATCTGCTCCAATACATAATAGCGCCTTTAAAAAACCGTTATGTCATTTATTTAACATGAAAGAAGATAGAGTTTTCATTTATTTTCATGGTATGCTTTTGTAATAAAAATAGAACTACTTCCGTTCAATCTCTTTTCCCGAGAATCAGTTAAGCGCGTCAATAAAGATTACTCGGTATTCCGTCTGTGCGTATTGCAGAGTTATCTTCTCTTATGAGCAGGTATTGATTGTTACGTCATTTGTTTGTGAGAGTAACGTCATAAATTTTTGCGAAAACGACGTAATTTTCTCACATAAACCAATGACGTAACAATCAGTACCTGCTCACAAGAGAAGATAACTCTGCAATACGCAAAGACAGAATGGCTGTCGTTCGAGACCTTTACTCAATATCCCTATGTGTTTCCGTCAACATCTTATGCAGCTAAACAATTTGTGTACGTTCCATTGATTGTATATTTTGAAAAATGTTGTTCGTAATATTCATTACCAGAACAAAGATAATATTTTGAAATGCATTACATTATTTGAAAATTTTATTTCTTTTCTCAGTTGACTTTTTCATTTCCTGTAATATTTTGAAACAATTGTTTCCAAATTTTATTTTCTTGGATTTATTTATACAAAACTTTTCAATATGTTGTATAAAGGAGTAAGACTGACAGATTGAATGGATAAAAGGGGGGTAAGTGACTTAATACAGTTAAAATGAGCAGTTGTATATATGATCAACAAACAATCTTGCGTTTAGGGAAGAGAAAGTAATTAAAAATCGAATTTCTTTATGAACCCTAATGTGTTCAAGTATGTTTTGCTTTTCTGCGTATATATAATACTTCCTTTTTATTTTACAGGGGCAGAATGGCGGTTTGGTACGACTTGTGTAATGAGGCTAAATATTAAATGTTAATTGTATGTATCTTAATCTTTGTCCTTTGTTTTCTATTTCGTTTTTATTGTTCAAGATGTTCTAAGTTGAAAATAAAACTGAATAAATATTTCTGTTAAACTTGTGTCTAAATTATGGTTAGAAGGCTTTCAGCTTTGTAGGTATGGTGAACTACTTTGCTAGGATTTGAGCAAGTTCTAAAATAACCAGATAGTCACTGGCCTTCAATATCTACAAACAAAAGAGATATAGGATTAGCTAACAGATATATAAAATAGGATGTTTGCAAAATAATTCTCAAAAGTATTCTATAAACAAATACCTAACTGTTTATTTTTACATCGAAAATACATAATATCTACTGAATCGATAATCAAACATATCGATAGTCCATCATACCAGTGTAGTCGATAATCAATCATGTCTATAGTCGATAGCTAATCATACCTACAGTAGTTAGAAAATCATACCCATAGTCGATAATCAAACATACCTACAGTCGATAACTAATCATACCTATAGTCGATAATCAATCATACCTAAAGTCGATAATCAAACACATCTATAGTCGATAACAAATCATTACTACAGTCGATAATCAATCATATTTATTGTCCATAACCAATCATACCTATAGTCGATAACAAATCATACCTATAGTCGATAATCATACCTATAGTCGACAACCCATCATACCTATAGTCGATAATCAATCCCACCTATAGTCGACAACCAATCGTACCCATAGTCGATAACAAATCATACCCATAGTCGATAATCAATCATACCGATAGTCGATAACCAATCATACCCACAGTCGATAATCAATCATACCTAAAGTCGATAATCAAACACATCTATAGTCGATAACAAATCAGTACTACAGTCGATAATCAATCATATTTATAAACGATAACCAATCATCCCTATAGTCGACAACCAATCATATCTATAGTCGATAATCAATCATATTCATAGTCGATAATCAATCATATTTATAGTCTATAATCAATCATACCTACAGTCTATAATCAATCATACCTACAGTCTATAACCAATCGTACCTATAGTCGATAACAAATAATACCTATAGTCGACAACCAATGATGCCTATAGTCGATAATCAATCATACCTAAAGTCGATAATCAAACACATCTATAGTCGATAACAAATCATACCCATAGTCGATAATCAATCATATTTATTGTCCATAACCAATCATTCCTATAGTCGATAACAAATCATACCCATAGTCGATAATCAATCATATTTATAAACGATAACCAATCATACTTATAGTCGACAACCAATCGTACCCATAGTCGATAACAAATCATACCCATAGTCGATAATCAATCATACCTAAAGTCGATAATCAAACACATCTATAGTCGATAACAAATCAGTACTACAGTCGATAATCAATCATACCTATAGTAGTCGATAACCAATCATACCCATAGTCGACAACCAATCATACCTATAGTCGCCAACCAATCATACCTATAGTCTTTAATCAATCATACCTATAGTCTATAACTAATCATACCTATAGTCGATAACAAATCATTACTACAGTCGATAACCAATCATACCTAAAGTCGATAATCAAACACATCTATAGTCGATAACAAATCATACCCATAGTCGATAATCAATCATACCGATAGTCGATAACCAATCATACATATAGTCTATAACCAATCATACCTATAGTCTATAACCAATCATACCTATAGTCGATAACCAATCATACCTATAGTCGACAACCAATCATACCTATAGTCGATAATCAATCCCACCTATAGTCGACAACCAATCGTACCTATAGTCGATAACCAATCATACCTATAGTCTATAATCAATCATACCTACAGTCTATAATCAATCATACCTATAGTCGATAACCAATCGTACCTACAGTCGATAACCAATCATACCTATAGTCGATAATCAATCATACCTATAGTCGATAACAAATCATACCTATAGTCGATAATCAATCTTACCTATAGTCGACAACCAATCGTACCTATAGTCGATAACCAGTCATACCTATAGTCTATGATCAATCATACCTATAGTCTATAATCAATCATACCTATAGTCGATAATCAATCATACCTGTAGTCGATAACAAATCATTACTACAGTCGATAATCAATCATACCTATAGTCGATAACCAATCGTACCTATAGTCGATAACCAATCATACCAATAGTCGATAATCAATCATACCTATAGTCGATAACAAATCGTACCTATAGTCGACAACCAATCGTACCTATAGTCGATAACCAATCGTACCTTTAGTCGATAATCAATCATATCTATAGTCGATAATCAATCATACCTATAGTCGATAACCAATCATACCTACAGTCGATAACCAATCATACCTATAGTCGATAATCAATCATATCTATAGTCGATAACTAATCATATCTATAGTCGATAATCAATCCTACCTATAGTCGACAACCAATCGTACCTATAGTCGATAATCAAACATACATTGTAACTACAGTCGATAATCAATCATATTTATAGTCTATAATCAATCATACCTATAGTCTATAACCAATCATACCTATAGTCTATAATCAATCATATCTATAGTCTATAACCAATCATACATTGTAACTATAGTCAATAATCAATCATACCTATAGTCTATAACCAATCGTACCTATAGTCGATAATCAATCATACCTATAGTCTATAACTAATCATACCTATAGTCGATAACCAATCATATCTATAGTCGATCATCAATCATACCTATAGTCTATAACCAATCATACCTATAGTCTTTAATCAATCATACCTATAGTCTATAACCAATCATACCTAAAGTCGATAACCAATCATATCTATAGTCGATAACCAATCATACCTAAAGTCGATCATCAATCATACCTATAGTCTATAACCAATCATACCTATATTCGATAATCAATCATACCTATAGTCGATAACTAATCATACCTAAAGTCGATAACCAATCATATCTATAGTCGATAATCAATCATACCTATAGTCTATAACCAATCATAACTATAGTCTATAATCAATCATACCTATAGTCGACAACCAATCATACCTATAGTCTATAACCAATCGTACCTATAGTCTATAATCAATCATACCTATAGTCGACAACCAATCATACCTATAGTCTATAACCAATCATACCTAAAGTCGATAACCAATCATATCTATAGTCGATAACCAATCATACCTAAAGTCGATCATCAATCATACCTATAGTCTATAACCAATCATAACTATAGTCTATAATCAATCATACCTATCGTCGACAACCAATCATACCTATAGTCTATAACCAATCATACCTATAGTCGATAACAAATCATACCTATAGTCTATAACCAATCATACCTATATTCGATAATCAATCATACCTATAGTCGATAACTAATCATACCTAAAGTCGATAACCAATCATATCTATAGTCGATAACCAATCATACCTATAACAAATCATACCTATAGTCGATAACCAATCATACCTACAGTCGATAATCAATCATACCTATAGTCGATAACCAATCATATCTATAGTCGATAATCAATCATACATATAGTCTATAATCAATCATACCTATAGTCTATAACCAATCATACCTATAGTCGATAATCAATCATACCTATAGCCGATAACCAATCATATCTATAGCCGATAATCAATCATACCTATAGTCGATAATCAATCCTACCTATAGCCGATAATCAATCATACCTATAGTCGATAACCAATCATACCTATAGTCTATAACCAATCGTACCTATAGTCTATAACCAATCGTACCTATAGTCTATAACCAATCGTAACTATAGTCTATAACCAATCCTACCTATAGTCGATAACCAATCCTACCTATAGTCGATAATCAATCACATCTATAGTCGATAACAAATCATTACTACAGTCGATAAGCAATCATACATTGTAACTATAGTCGATAACCAATCATACCAGTCAATCAATCAGCGCAATAATTTTCTAAGGGAAAAGAGTCCATCAATAAAAGTTGATTTCCACAGGGATTGTGTAAAGTAGATTAAATTATAAGGATTAATTTGAATATATTTTTCACGTTATGGAGCTATAACACACAAAAAAAACGGAGTGTACTCTCATCATACACTCCGTTTCGCGGTTTATTTAGAGTACACTCCGGTTTTTTTGTGATATATCTCCATAACATGAAAATTATATTCAAGTTAATCCTTCATTAGTCAACACTGGGTTTTCCGCTATAGCTTCAGCACTGATATCTATGGTGAAGAACCCCTTGTTTCTATCGTTTGATATCCCTCTGGTCAGTCTACAGAGTTTTGATTATCAAATCAAAGAAAATAAAAATTGAATTCCTTACAAATACATGCACTGAACATGTACAATGAGTTTTCAAATAAGAGCTTATAAATGTAAAAATATGTATAAGTATCGATATGAGGAGAAAAAATCGTGCGTGATAAATCAAGTGATTCATAGTATTATAATTTGTTTGTGATAAAACCATAATAATATATATAATGATATACAACATTTGATATAGCGCTCTATCTAGCTAACATAAATGTAAACCACTCTAAAGCGCTTTACAGTACATAAATATACAATTAATATAATTAGGATATACATTTTTTTAGGAATTCGCAGGAGCTGCCTTATCAGGCGCTATAACTACTAGTCCTATGCCATCTGGCTAATATCTCCCTATGTGTGTATGCCTGCGTGTGAGCTGGAGATGTATTTTGTCCATATATACAAGATATCAAGTTCATCGCTGCTGTTAACATTCACTGGGGATGATCATACCTGGAAGCCAGCCTTTCTTGCTTCAAGGGTCAACTCGAGAATATACTCATTTCTATGTTATCGATGGGAAAATATTGAAGATCGAATGGGAACATGTGAAATTACAACATAACCTCAGGAAATCTAGATGGCTTCACACAAAGTCATCTTATTTTATCTTATATAAAACGTATTTCATTTAATAGTGACAAAGTCGATTTTAAAGCATAAATGAACAATTTCATTATTTCAGACACAGGTGTGTTAGACCGTTGTTCTGGATAA